GAACAAGAGAGGATGAGTATGTGTGTGTTTTATAGAAACGGAGGAGGTAGACGATACACCAAAGCAATCCATCTAGGGAAGCCAATAGTGCACAGCATAGGATGCAGGCTTCATAGCATCCAATTCACAGCCCAACAAAACAGCAGCACACACATATAGAGTGCATGAACACAGTGGGATGCCCTTGTATGGGTTACAGCTGCCACTGTGCTGAAATGGTGGCACACACAACCGTCACTTTTACCCCAATAGCATTGTCTGAATCACCCTTTCACATATTAGCACAAATATTCAGATTCTTTGCCCCTAAACAAGATGCTAAAAATATTAATTCAAACCAAAACAAAAAGTTCTTTACTCTGAAATAGACCTTTAAATGCATTACCAAGAAACAAATCCAACAAAACTCAAGCATAAAGCAAAAGATTTAACATCTCTGCAATTTTCTCTCTGCTTTTCCTCCCTCCCCAATCTTTATCTCTACCTTGCAGACACCTGCTACAGTACGCTAACTGATTGGCGCGTCTAAAAATGATAGCAATCATGAGGCAGACGATGAACGGCGGCGTGAACAGCGGAATGACCATCGATTTTCATTCTCATAGGCAGTGAGTTATGGCAAGAAGCTCTGACTGTAAGACAAAAGGATGGAGCCATGACTAAAATCCAAGATGTAGGCCAGTCAATAGTCAGATCCACAGAAAAATAATAACACACACAAAGCAGCTGAGATGAAGAGGAGAGAGAGAGCTTTAGAGTATAAATGAGTACATGACTGGTTCACTTTCTGAAGAACTAAAGGGCTTTCAATATTACTTCTACATTCTGCTAAACTTAAAGGACAAATATCACATTTAAGAACCAGTAAAACATAAAAACTCAAAAGTGGACATCCTTTCAAACCTAAAAATCCTACTAGTGCCACCCTTAGGACCAGGAAAGCACATGACTGAGTAGCCATTCAAAATCTCCCTACTTTCCTTGATGGGTCCTTGGCTGGTCCCCTACAAATACTTTTAAAAACATCAATCTTTGTACTAAAATATTCTTTCTGTCATGGTTTGTCATTCTTTCTGACATTAAGATCTACAGAGAAGCCCTGTCTCCTGGTCAGACCGTGTTATTCAAAGAAAGGATGGAGTTAGAGTAAAAAATGTACACGCCCAGGAGAAAGAAGGGGTCATTTCAATGGCTGGAAGTTGCAGGGGATTTTGCTGGGAGTTGCAGGAAGGTGGGCTGCCATTCGGCTGGCGTTTGACTAGGAAGCGCCATTTTGAATGGCTGCTACTGTGTGTTACTGCATCACCAAAACAGCATGTTCAGATCATTGCCTATTGTTACATTTCGTTGATAAAAAAAAAAGCTGTAACTTTTTAACCCTTTAAAGCCAAGTGTATCATATTTGATACAGGATATTTTGAAACCTCTGCATCATCAGTGGGATGTTTTGGTTCTTGAAACCCTGACTTACATAATCAGACACATGTAGTGAACAGAAAACATATAAAAGATTATATAGAAATGCGTAATATATCAAAATTGATGCTGATAGTTGATAGTTTTTTAATTTGTAACAAAGTTCAATGACAATTCTAATTTTGAAAAATTTGAATCTTCTGTGAATTATTTCCTGGTTCAGGCTTTAAAGGGTTAAATCATAGCACTATTAACAAATGTATTGAACCTTATTAGCAATACAGCAGAAGGATAGAGTTAGCATTTTAGCTATAAGACCAGCAGTGCTTCAAATACGGGATTGGAAATTATTAGCTGAAGACGGAATCAAGGTACGGTAGTTATAATCCAGACCAACAAGGTGACCGTAGGGCTGTTCGATACGGCTGGAGAATCGATCACGATTTCATATCAGCCTAGACTGATTATTATTGATTAGTTGTTTGTTTGTTTTTTTGTTTTTTTTTATGTATTTGAAATCAGGACTGAATTTTAATTCTAACCCTAATTCTATTAAAACATAACATTTGACCTTTAAAAATGGACCAGCCATACTATCGACTGTTTTATTTGGCTGTGAGGTTGAGAGGCCGTGTTGTTCTGGATCTTAGTTCAGTGGAATTGTTCAAATATATTTATTGGAAGTATTTTATATATAGATCAGTTGTCTAAGGTAACATATATGGATAATGATGTATTGCCCATCCTTAGGTGACTTCATATGTTTGATTGATCATATAGTATAAAAGCTAAGATAAAAAGCTCTTCCTTTACTGTGGTTAATCACTTCTGTCTTTTGTCTGTATAATTTCTTGTTCTGTTCTCAAAGCATCTGTTCTGTATCTTTATTAAATCTTTTTCAAACAATAATAAACAGATTTCTTTTTTTTTCTTAGTGTCTGAACCAAATGAAGGAGAGATCAGTATTTTAACTTTCCTTCTAGCCACAAGATGTAGCATTACCTTAAAGCTACAGTGTGTAA